GGCTCAGGGGGAGCCAAGCCCTTGAAGGACGTCCCGCTCAGTGCGCAGGCGAGATGCTGGGAACGGGGAGCGTGGATTTGAGGGGCCATGGTGGGTCTGGCCAGTTCTATGGGCAAAGCCAGTCTCTGGGCAAAGCCAGACACTGGGGTGCTCCCCACATCCCATGGGTCACCCCACACTGCCAGCACCTTGCGGTGATGCACGCTGCGAGGCAGAGAGTGCTGAGGACTCCCCAGCATTGTGGGGGGTGGGGGGAGTGTCTCATCTTATTGCTAATGGCTCCCCTGCGGTGACACCCACAGGCTGTGGCGAAACTGGAGGGGGGATTTGCCACGCGACATTCCCAAACCCGGTGGCCTCTAAGCCCTGGCAGCCTCAGCCCAAGAGCTGGGAGTGGAACTGCCAGTGTGGCAGGGACCGAGCAAGCCAGAGCACACAGCCCCCCTTCCTCCCCGGTGCGTTTTTGGTGGCAGGTGGTGATTGTCCTTCTTGCAACGAGACCAAGGAAGTGCCACCATGGGTGAGGGTGTGGGCAGAGGCAGGGGGATCCCCATGCCACCCTCCTGCCCCGATGGCTTCTGGAGCAGGGCTGAGCCTTCTCCCCCTGCCCTGGGGCAGCCCTTAGGGTACACGACCAGGGCGAGGGGATGGTTTGGGGTGCGATTTCTCACAATGCTCAGCCAGCTCTGCGCCAGCAGGTCCTGGGTGTGCTGCGGGATCCCGTGCTAGCTCTCCGCAGGGATGGCCCGCGGGGAGAAATGGGAGCTGCATCCCCAGGAAGGGCCCAGTGACCTCCCAGTGAGCACCGCTTCTGTCCCTGTCTTCCTTCTGGCTTGGCCAGCCATCGGTTGACCTTGTGGGACCAACCTACCTCCTGTGTCCTCTCTACGTCCTGCTGTCCTGCCCACAGCCTGCTGTCCTTCCCCATCCCACCATACTGTCCCCATGTCACCACCCCGCCCTTGCTCTGCCATCCTGGCCCCATACCCCTGCCACCCACCCTCCCAAGCCAGGGCCAAGCCGATGCTAGGGAGGGTGAGGACCAATGCAGAACCATGTGTGACTGCTGGGCGAAGCCAGGAGCTGGGACCAGGAGGCAGTGAAGTGAAGCCCCTCTCCTTCTCCGGTACCAGACAAGGGGATGAGGCCAACGGCAAAGAAGACAAATTGACCACAAAGGAGCGAGGGCCCTGGTGGAGGATGTCCACGGGGCAGGTGGGTGCTGGCGGGACGCTGACGGATGGGAGATGGCTCTGGAGGAGACGTCAGTGGCAGGCGTGGACCTCAGCACGATACCTCCATGGTGTGGTTGATCTGCCCCATGGCCTCGGTGCTCTCCGAGTGGGTGCAGGCACGTGGGCGGGTGCCATCCACTGAGCTGGCGCTGGTGAGGGAGGCCGTGCGGGAGCGTGCCAGGCGGGTCATGCTGGCGGATGGCACTGCACGGGCACAGAGAAATGGCTGGGGTGCTCAGCTCCCTCTGAGAGCTGACATTGCCTCACGCAAGCAAAGCCGCTGGTCCCGCTCCCTGATGTCAATGCCCCTGGGCGCAAGCTTGCAGCATGCAGTGCTGTGACAACATGAACAGCTCCAGGCTGGCAAGGGACAGCGGGGCAGGGACGGGGTGCCCTGGGGCAGGCTGCACTCCGGGCACATCTCCCAGGCATGCGACCACTGGGCATGAGGCAGTGGGGACCCCTGTCCGCCACGCTCTGGGGAAGGGGTGAGCAGGGATGGTTGCTCTGCTGGCTCCCCAGGCTGTGCGGGGAAGGTGACACCCGCCTCCAGCCAGGATGCCCAGCAGACACAGCTCCTGGCCAGCTGGAGGAGGGCACAGTGGGCACACTGCCGAGACTGTGCCCGCATCGGGGGGACTTCTCCAAATGCCATTTTTCAGCCCCCAGCCCTGGCTCAGGGTGCCGTCTCAGGCAAAGCGGAGCGAGGCAGAGGGCACTTGGCTGGGAAGGGCCAGCCCCGCACCCAGGCTGCTCCCAAAGGTGCCCAGGCAGCTCGAGGGCAAAGGCCAGGCGGGCACCATGCAGCAGTGGGCACGGGCCGAGCAGCACTGAGCGGTACCTGTGCCTCCACTCAGCCTCCGATCCTTCAGGTGCGTGACTGGCAGGGGTGGAGCGGGAGAAGGGCAGGGAGGGCAGAGAGAGAGCGTCAGCCATGCTGGCTGCTCCACGGGGCCAGGAGTCCCCACCCAGCCCCATGTGTGCATGCACACGGACCTGCACATATGCACACAGACCTGAACACACACAGACACACATGCATGTGCACATGGACCTGCAAACACACACACGTGTGTACATGGACCTTCGCGCGTGTGCACATGTAGGTATGCACACAGACCGGCACACACACACACACGTGCTCATACACACACATATGCACACAGATTTGTGCACATGGACTCTGCACGTCTGTGCGCACACACACACAGCCTCTGCTTGTGCATGCCGACACACACATAAGTGTGCATGCATGCACAGAGACCCTGTCCACACACGTATGTACACACAGAGCCCTTGTACACACGTCTGTGTGCACAGAGAGCCTGTACACCCCACGCCGCTACGAACGCACGAATAGGTATCTTGTACACCTGCACATACAATGCCACAGACGCACGTGCAGCTCTCCATCAGGACGGGCGCGCGGGGGTGCCAGGCTCCTCTCCTGCGGCAGGGTCAGCACACGCGCACACAGGCACACACGCATGTGCACACGCAGGCACGCGCCAGCCCCGTGCCCAGCCCTGGCACTCACTGTAGCCCATGCCTTGCAGGAAGTACTTGAAGGCTTCAGTCAGCTTTCCGGGCTGCAGGGAGAGAGCAGGCTGAGTTGAGGCAGCACTGGGGCCGAGATCCCCACTCAGCCCCAAGCTGCCTCTGGCAGCCCCTGCACAACACCCCTATGCCCACCTCAGCCCATGCCCTGCTAGCCAGGGACAGCACCAGTGCATGTCTCAGGGCCCAGTATACCCAGTTAACTGGGGAAATTGTGGGGGCTCACCTGTGTGACCTGGGGCAGCCCACCAGAGTCAGCCATCTGCAGAGAGAAGGTCCTGCTTAGTTTGGGAGGGTGCCTTTGCCACCCACCCTGTCCCGTGGTACGTGCTGGCAGGATGCCACTGCTGGGGCCACCCTGCTCTCCCCAGCCCCATGGCCAGGATGGTCCTGGAATGGGGAGATGGGGACACCCTGCAACCCTGGGGCAGAGGGCAATGGGACACATCATGGGCAGCAGGGACCGCCTGTCTCCCCCCTGCTACCTGCCTACCTTCAGGAAGGTGGTGTTGGTGGGATCCAGCTTGGAGTTACACTCCACCTGCGGGCAAGAGGGATGATATTAGCACCCTGGGGTGCCCTGAACCTGGTAGAAGTTGCCCATGGATACCGCCACTGGCCCATGGCACCCCAGCTGGAACATCCCACCCCAGCCAGGTGGAGACAGGGCGCTACGCAAGCCCTGAGCCTGGCAGAACCACCATCCCTTGCCATGGGACAGGGGGGACCTTCCTCCTGCCAGGCAGTGTCTGGGCAAGGGGGGGGGCTGGAAGGGGAGGGGAGGGGGGCTGGTGAGGCATCCTGTGTGTCACACACGTGTGTACAAGCACACAAGTGTGCTCATGTGCATATGCATAGATGTACACGTGCTGGAGGAGGCGGGGTGTGTGCACGCAGTTACACGTTATGTACAAATGTGGCCACCTGCACAGTTCCTGTGGCTGATTGTGCAAGTGTGGACAACCACGTGGATGTGTGCAAGCACACGCATATGCTAGCAGCTGTTTGGCTGCATGTGGCCAAGAAGGGAGTGTGCCTGTGTGCCAACACATCCGAGTGTGCACATTGTGAGCACGTCTGGGTATATGAGGAAGGGGAGGTTTTCCAGGTGTGGCAACCAGGCACAGATGCACATGCACATGTGCCCACATGAGCAGGCAGGTTTGCACATGAGCACGCTCCCACACACGGGAACTCACACGTGTCTGAGCAGGCAGTGAACATGAGCGTGCCCACGTGTGGGCACCATCTGTGTGCCACCCCGCAGTCACTACCCCATCACTCACCACCCCCTCTTCAGCAGGCGCGTTGTCTCCGACCACCAGCATCACGGGGCAGCTGGAAGTGAGAGGAGAAAGGGGCACAGTCAGGGCTTGGCCTGCGTGGACTCCACTGCCCTGGGACCCCCCATGCCATGCTGGCATGACTCTTACCGCAGTGTCTTGGCGTTGGGTACAGTCCCGGGCCGGTTGATGTCCAGGTCCCTGCGGCTGATGGAGGAGAAAGAGGGCTCACCATGTAAGCCCACGGGCAGGTGCTGCCACCAATGCCATAGTGCGAGAGCTGGGGCACCGCCAGCTCCAGGAAGCAGCACCCAGCCCTGCTGTCCCAGCACTCTGTGGATGGAGGACCCCACAGCCATCTCTCCCATGACCCCAGCAGAGACCCCGCTGCAGCGTGCAGCACCCAGTGGAGTAGTGAGGCTCCCAACGCCCTGCATGCATGGGACAGCACCTCTGTCCCCCTCCCCAGGGCTGTGCCAGCAGCCAGTGCAGGAGGAGACCAGGGGACGTGCACCCACAGCCGTGGGCTCTGGGACATGGCAAGGCTCTGGCACAGGTAACACCACTCCCACATCCCGAGGCTGCAGCGG